CGTACTTCTTCGCCGCCGACTCGAGGAAATCGAAAACCTCCTTGTTACCCGCTATCGATTGTGGAAGGTCGGTGTCGGCGCCTTTTTCTCCCTAGACGTTCAAATCAGCGAAATCCTCACAGTGGGACCAGGACGGCCTCCAGGGTACTACTGACTACTATCATGTGGTCGCCTTAAGGTTGTAGTCAGCACATGCCTTGATCGCAGTTCATCCATGACTGTCACTCACAGTGAATACTAGCAGGCACAGCCGTACTCGGCAACCCACAGCTCATAAACTGCAACAGCGCCATCTGTGCACTCGCATCCTGCATGGCCACGCGATCCGGCTTCAACTTGAGATTCGCCTGGCCCCGAATATCCCTTCCTCCATTGGTGTTGCTCAACAGCGACTCCTCGGGGCTCTCAAGATGCGAATACAGAATCTTCTCTGCCAAAGTCAATTGGCGAGAGGAACCGAGTACGCGCCGGACTTCTTCGAGCCGCGAGAGGAGTTTGGCATACGGTGGGGTGCGCGAGCCGAGGTCGACGTTGCGCGCGGAGGGCGGCGAGTGCGATGTGGCTAGGCATCTGAGCGGTTGGCGGAGGGAGGAGAGATGGGGCTGTAGAAAGGGTGTCAGCGTTTTTGTGTCACTCAGAGGTGTAGTAGAGAAGCGCGATGACGATGACTACTGCGGAAGGCGCATGAGGTTTGGAGAGATGTTGAGCGGCCAATGGTATGTGTAGACTCACCCTGCAGTTGGCTGCTTGACCAGCACGAAGTATTTGCGACCGCATCTTTTCGTAGGTTGTCCGTGGCGGCGACGCGGTGCGAGCACGTCAAAAATGGTGCCTTCAGAATATACCGAGCCGACTGCGGAGATGCACGCGAGTCATATGTACCGCGGAGAAGGAAACCCTCTGACCCAATCACAGCACGCGTCAAAGTAATCTGAGAGATGACGCGATGGGCGATGTACCATTCTTAAATTTAAGCTATAGCAATGGCACTGGTATCCTAACTAAAGTGACAACTCCAGATTGGCAGACAATTACCGTGCCCGAGACGATGCTCCGTACCTGTGTCTAAACGTGCCGAAGCGTAGAGAACCCCTCAAACCAATCCACCACACCCGCCGTCAGTCAATATGCAAAGGCAAATCGGACTAGTTTCGATCAATCAAGTTAAGTTGAAAGGCTGTCGTAAGCGCGAAATCATAGTCGTTGCTTCGGACTTACAAACCGGGAGGTGGAGGGACGGCGCCATAGTTGGAAGGCGATGCAGCCGGTGGAGGCGGCGGTGGAGCAGCGTAGCCGGATGGCTCTGAAGGCGGCGGCGGTGGTGGTGCAGCCGCGCCAGCGCCGGGAGCAGGCGACTGCGTCTGGCCATAACCGTTCTGAGCATAGTACGCCGCGTACTGCTGTTGCTGGAGTGCGAGATACGCTGCATACCCACCGTAGGCCGCATAAGGATCAGCCTCTGGGTTCTGCTGGTAGTAGGCAATCCATGCTTGTGCCGCATTCGCATCGTAGGCTTGGTTGTTAGCATCAGCAGTCGGCGTTGCAGCAGCAGGAGACATGATTGTGTCCTGGCCGCCGTAACCGTTCTGACCCTGAGCGCCGTAGCCACCGTAGCCGCCGCCTCCTCCGTTTCCTCCACCGTATCCGTAGCTCTGGCTGCGATCACGGTCACCGCGATCTCCACGGTCGCCACGATCGCCGTATCCCGGTCGTCCACCGCCATAGCCATCTCGGTCGCCGTAACGGTTCGGTGGAGGGCGTTCCTTGTAAGCGTGGTAATCCGACTTTACCTTGTCGAGGAGCTCGTCGCAGAGTTGCTTGGCTTGGGCTACACCTTCGGGACGGGGTCCACTACGATCTGTCAGTAATTGGAGGGTAGGAATGGCGGGGTATACGAACGCGATGTGGAGGTACATGGGCTCGTCGCTCTCTTGTCCGCTGTTTGGCTCCATGAAGCCGGAACCGCGGCCTTTGATCTGGACTTTGCAGCCTGTCTCCTGTTGAATGAACTTGACGTTGTCGCCACCGCGACCGACAACCTGTGCGCGCAAGTTAAAGCCGCTGATAGGCTCGAGACCTACGGAAATCTTCTCTTCGGGCCACTTGCGCTGGGAAGTATTAGCAACGTGTTGGATGACAGACAGGGCGACATACTCTGCCAAATTCGTCGCGCTCGAAGTTCTCTGGCTCTCTACGGCGGAAACGACGTTCGTCTACAAGGTTAGGAAGGTCCTCCTTCATCATCTCTTCGATCATCTCGACAGCCTTGTCCAGGCCTTCTTTGGAGGTGCTAGTGATGCGGAGGTACAGCGGCGGGTTCTGTTCCCGTTAGCTCTGTCGACGAGACTCTGCGTGTTCACCTACAGTAGCAGTTGCCATGTTCTTGTCTGGGTAGTATTCTCCGCGAGTAGTGACATCTTGCATGTATAAGCAGGTATTCTAAAGGTTAATAGTTGTAATCGGGGATGCGTACCGGCGCCAGTCTCGTCTTTGATCTAGATGGCACATGGAGGTTAGCATTTGATAAATGGGGTGGGGTGCTAGATCAAGTAAGCTCTGACTCTCATAGAGAGATGCGCAAACAGAGACCAACTCCAGCCCCGCAGCACACGCACCAGGTGCAGCGCAGCAGAGCATGGAGAAGGCATGATCCTACATGATCAGTGGACAGCAAAAACAGTTATTTACCCTCTTTTGTGTAGCTCCTTTAGTCAGTGTATAGCGATTACGGAGATCATTGATCTCAATGTCTTTGATGTAGTCACCATCCTGCTGGTACGTCTCGTTGTTTATGGCCGCGGCGGAGTTTGAGGCGGGCGACTTGGCGACTGGAGGAGTAGCGGCCTGGGCTGTTAGTCTTGTCATGCTCGAAAAGATATGGATGAACTTACAGAGCGAATCGGAGGCACGTCGACATGCTGGATGCCCTTCTTCGCCTGAATCTGCGCGTTGATCCTCGCAGCCGCAGCCGCCGCCTTTGCTGCCGCCTCGTTCTTGAAGTTGGACGATGCAGGGCTGTCTGTGCCTTCACGGGCGACAGGGCTACGGGCGCGATGCGACTCGGATTCCCTCCGCGACGGCGACCTGGAGCGACGATCTGAGTCGAAGCGCGAGCGGACAGGGCGCTCGGCATCGTCGCTATCAAAGCGCGATCGGGGGCGGCGTTCCTCAGACATGATGCGGGTGGCCGTAGCGATAGTTGTCGTGGTGTTGCGGGTGAGGCTCGGGTTGGTTGGTGTTTGTCGATGAATCTTAGGCTCTGGCAGGAGCGACTCGCTTATTAGCGTGCCGCGGCTGAACCTGCCTGTTCGTGGCCTGGTGGCTCCTCCGACAATCGGCCGGGGATTCTATTTCACTTTCTGGGGCAGTTTGACGTGAAGCCCATCCACATCCGCAGTCACTCCCCGCCTACTCGCCTTCACCGCGACCACTGCCCGCCATGGCTTCCCGGAGAGCAATTCTGCCGCTGCGCAGTCTGCTCAACAGGCAATGCGCCGCCTCCCTCCGCCAGCAGCAAAGAGCATCCAGCTCCTCGTCGACTCAGGCGCTGGCTTACAAGGCCCTTCACCGTCGCATTGCGCCCCTCCCCACCGAAGACCGTCCTCCGGCGTGGTCGGCGCCCGCTGCCGTCAGCAACATCCTCTACGAAACACCGCTCCCATCCCAAGCTCCGCCCAAGAGCCACATCCTCAACTGTTTGGTACAGAACGAGCCCGGTGTGCTGTCCCGCGTATCCGGTATCCTGGCTGCCCGCGGCTTCAACATCGACAGTCTAGTCGTCTGCAACACCGAGGTAGACGACCTCTCCCGCATGACAATTGTGCTGCAAGGGCAGGATGGTGTCATAGAACAAGCCCGCCGCCAGCTCGAGGACCTGGTCCCAGTATGGGCTGTGCTTGACTACACCCAGTCGCCCCTCGTCCAGCGCGAACTGCTCCTCGCCAAGGTCTCGATTCTCGGCCCGGAGTACTTTGAGGAGCTGCTTGCGCACCACCGAGAGATGGCCCAAACGCCGGAGATGGAGGAGCAATACGAACCAGACATGACCGACGAAGAGCGCAACGCAATGGCACAGGAGGCTGCTCGCGAGTCGTTGCGGAAAGACTACCACCCGACAAACCTGCCCGTCAGCCAGGCGCTCCGACACAAGCACGAACATCTTCGCGCGATTACCTTCATGACTCATCAATTCGGTGGAAAGGTGCTCGACATCAGCACAAACAACTGCATAGTAGAGGTTTCCGCGAAGCCTACCAGGATTGACTCCTTCATGAAGCTCATTGCTCCATTCGGTATCCTGGAGTCCGCAAGAACTGGTAAGCACCCTGGGATGTCCAGGCATGGTCGAGTTGCTAACCACACACAGGCCTCATGGCTCTACCGCGCTCCCCGCTACACAACAGTGCCGACGTGGAGGAAATGGAGGCGCAGGATGTTGTCGACAACAGTCTGCTCCCTCCAGGTTAAACGTCTTGAAATGCGGGCGGTACCAAGTTTGTTCAGTGTCAACATATGCGGGCGTTTAATCTACGTGTATAGTATGGCGTTCAATCAAGGCAGAAGACGGCATTCCAAGTCGGAGCGCTTCGTTCATTCGAGACCAAACACACTGTTCTTTGATACAACGTGAGACGTACTACGCGTGATGTATACATGTCATGCACGGCCTACCCCAGGTCCTGCCCCACAACAGAATCTAGTCGTTCGAGTATGTTACAGCGTATGACAGGTGAACAGGTACCGCTGCGGGGCCCGCGGAAGCCTCGTACGAGCGAGCAACCGGTCGGATGAAGCTAGCGACGTCTAATACCTACCGTAATACACGTTGCCCAGCCGGCTCATAATGTAGACAACTTCGGACCGGAGCATTGAAAATTCGGACCGACCCCATCGACTACTAGTATACTGCCAAAAGTCCGTGTACCTCCATCTACATCAACACCCATAATATTCTTCCTAAGCCTACTTTCGATTCCTGATAATTCCTCAGTAACAGCATCATGTCGCAAATCCCCGTCCCCGCTGGTCTCATAGAAGACACGCTAGACCACACGATCGAAATTCTCGCCAAGCAATTCGAACCCGATGCTTTTCAACGCTATATCCTCCTGGATGAAATGCAGGGTTCTGGAAAGACGGATATCGGAGAGGAGATGAACAAGGAGGTTTTTGCGTTCATCGTGCCGGATTTTATCAAGGCTGGAGCGAGGTGTATGACGGTTCCTGGGAGTGGGGTGGCTAGTGTCTGGTAAGTACATGATATACCATCATGAGATATTTCTCTTTCGAGAAATGTAGCATATGAGGGGAAGGGTATTGGCAGGAGTTTCAGGTTGGAACACACTAACGATGTGTTATGCAGGACACTAGAAGAAGTAACAGAAAACTACACCGAAGAACCACACAACCCACCCGCCGTAACAGAACTAAACTCCCTCGCTCACCACATCCGGAAACGCTTCATCCCTCCCCAGACAACTCACATGCTACATCTAGTCCTTTTAGCAAACGACCGCACTCACCCTTCTACTTCAAACCCGGCTAAAGTCAGTGACCTCATTCGCCCCGTCCTTGATATGGCGAGGGAGAAGGGGTGGCCTGTGGTTTTGGAATCTACGTCACCGAGGAGTAGGGATGTGTATACACATTTGGGGTTCCAGATGCTGGAGGAGATTGTTGTGGGAAAGGGGAAGGTTGATGGTGAAGGGAGGGGCCAAGAAGGGGGTGAAGGTGTAAAGCTTTGGGCGATGATGAAGTGCTGAGATTCTTCAGTGTGCATGTCGTTCCACGAAGTGCGCTGGAATGATATTGTGCGTATATTGCGTACTTTTTGAAGACTGCTCACGTTTTCTGACAAGCACGTAGGGACTGTTGCACCACGGATTTTCTCCAACGCAATGAGCCATCGGGATCACATCTGTTGACGCATAGACTATTATATCATCATTGGCAGTATCAGCGATCGCCAATTTATCTACCTGTGATCCACTATCAAGGCCAATCGTACTTGTAACCGATATCTAAGCAACTCGTCCTTCACATGAAGCAGCAAGAAGCAAGCAAGCAAGCGAAGCGCCCCACAAACCTCAATTCTGAGTCGATTTCAACCCCTACCACCGGCAGTATTACACCTCGAATCCTCACAATTACTCGAACCGACATACCACGTTGAAGCCCTGAAAACCACACCGATCACCCACGTGGGCAACACACGCATCGCAAGTGGCAGACAGGTTCCAAACGTCTGGGTCTGGATCATGCAAGCGCGATGTCATATACGGCGTTCTAGCGATCCTACATATGCAGCACCCCTGTCCGTCATAGCGGAGCCGGTATAGGCAGGTGAGCACGCGACCTTTCAAGACGCAGGACTAACAGCATGAAATGGAGACGCGCAGACGTGCATGCAGATGTTGATACAAGCATCGCCAATGTGGCGGACAAGTGCCGTAGCTCCGTGGAACTCGGGTATGCATATCGATCCTTTGAGAGAATATGGATTGTTTTGGCGGATTTCTTTGCAGAAACCTCCTCTCGATGGTCAAATTCGTGTACTTGGATATGTGGGATTGCCACTCGTTTCCTTCAGTACTTGTGATTTGAAAAAAGGTAGACTTAGTGGCGAAACTAACGGCTGCCTTCATCCTTCGTTCTCGTATATCAAGTTCACAATGTTTGGTCTGACTCACTTCGTCTCCATCGTCTAGCACGACGAGAGTCGTGTAGCTCCTCGGAGGCGCTCAATTCAGCCAGCACTACCGCGGCTCCACGGGATGGGCATGATGAAGCTCCACTTCGGCAATGGGTCCAGGTCCCTGCGACGGGTGGCCGGCGGCCGCAAGTACTATCGTGTGGGGACGGTTGATGAGTATTCATCGCTGTTGTCTCTCATTGACCAGATAGATGCGGGGACATGTTGTTATCGTACTGAAGAGAAGGTTGTGTGCAAGGAATAATCATGCGACAAATTTCTTCCGCGGCTCCAATTATGTAGACATGTCTTGTGTGGTGTAGAGAAGATCCCTGGTTCGTCTCGCAACAGGCAAGTGGAGGTTCGTTAAGCTGCACGTCTATCCTTGTCTAGATGCAAGCTTTTCTTCTCCAATTTTCTCCAGATACTTGCATTGGCCAATCGCATTGGTGTAGTGACATTCTGTCGTCTTTCCTGGCAATACCTCCTGCTGCTTGACGATCTAGATTGACTGTGATGGCAGCCACAGCTGAGGCTTCGTCTCGATGTTCAACGTGCCGGCATTGCGCGGTACATGCCGATTGCCGCCCTGAACTGTGGATCGTGATGCTTCTCTGCAACACGGCAGACGGCTAATGTCGTTTGCTCAATTCGAATCGATTATGGCGTGCGGGAAGCAACAAGCTCTCTAACGGAGACATCGACCTTGAAGATGCTAGGTTATCAGGAGTGGTTGGTCACACGTTGAGGCTGTACTGTAGACACTCTGGGCTGACCCTTGAAGAATGATAAGCTTACCTCACCAACCGAGGTTGAACACCAGGGAACACGTTCAGCAGTTCCCTCCCCGTCATACGATAACATTGGGTGTTGAGTGGAGATGATATCCCGGCTGCATGGGATGTGGGCCCTTGCGCACGTACAAGGATGCCTGCGTAGCACCGGAGAAGGGTTCCAAGGTTCCATCATAGCGTGGATCGAAGCTATCGAGGAACACCTGCGCTCGATCGATAAGTACATACACCCTTCACAGCGCCATGTTGCTCTGGCACTTTCTCTCTAGGTTTCCGCACTCGTCTCACATTTAAATTTCACATACTCGGCTAGCAGCGCGTCATAAGCCGGATATCTTGGCATGACGACGGCGGAGGTGTTATCTTGATTCACCCAGTTGAAACCAACGGTACGTAGTCCGGCTGGCGCCCTGTCTCGGCGGTTCAACGGTCCAACGGCTCAATTGCTGTCTGACTGTGTGAACGTGCAACGCTCGCACGTATATTGCACGACCGTGCAATCATGAACCCTCGAGGGCTTATCTGACGGTGCCAGTTTATCGCTTTCATAATTCATAACAAACCCGTACGACGCAACCAATTGGGCCCATTTCCACCACCCCACTTATCAATTTGTTGGAATGAAGTACGGCGACACTCTCAGACAGAGGTCCATACCAGAATGGGGCCATTGTGAGTCCCACGCCCGCACGCTACGGCGCGACACGGAGAGCGTTCCGCTGACAGACACGCGCCTACAGATAACATCGACTACGACTATCTCAAAGACCTTATCAAGCACCAGACGACGCCCGGCACGAACAAGGCCGTCTCCATCCCAGGCCAGGGCGAGAGCACCGAGCGCGCATTCGGCGACACCTTCTTCAATGTTTTGGCACAACAACATGACCGCATCAACCTCTTCGTGCGCAGCAAGAGCGGCGAGATCGAACGGAGGCTGGAGCATATCAGCAAGACGCTAGACCAGCTGCGCGCGCGACGCAACCCCGCGAGCGGGCGTCTCCCCGCGCGGATCGTGGAGAGATATGCGAAGATAGATGCAGACGTCGCAAGGTACGTGGGATGCGCCGGAACACGCGTAGAGAGAACGCCCGCTGACACAACCGCAGGACTGGAGAGGAGATCAGGTCGCTCTCGCGATTCCAAGTCACGCAACGGACGGGCTTCATCAAGATCCTCAAGAAATACAAGCGCTGGACAAAGGACAGGGAACTCAGTCATGTCTTTAAGCAGGAGATCAGTAGCCGGCCGGATAGCCTGTTCCAGCTGGATCTGGGCTATCTCCTGGACCAATACATCGATGTGCTCGACGCACTCCGCTCCGCTTTTGATGCCGATGGCACGTCTACGTCGCATGCCGAGAACACCAACGGCCAGTCGTCCGCGGCACACATATCTAGAAGCATCGAGAAGGGCGGGGATCTCGACTTTGACTTGGTGATGAACACGGTGCCTTTGGGCTCCAAGGGTAACAAAGCAACGTACTGGATACATCCAGACCATATCGTCGAGGCACAGGTCCTGTTGCTCCAACATACGCGCCTGTACGTCAGCAAGGCCAGACGGCACGCATCTGGCAAAGGAACGCCTCTCCCCCGCCATTCCTCCACAACCAACCTCGACCCGTACCTTGGCAGCGAAGACACCACTGGGGTAGTTGTCTTGGACCACCCTGAAGCTTTCGCCTTCAAGCAAAACGCAAGTACGATTGGAGCTACGGAAGAACTACAGGGAAGCATCGGCATAAAGGCCGCTGGTCAAGTGCGGTGTTGCGCATCTGGCGAAGCCGCGGTTGTTGTATGCACAGAGGCGGATGCGCAGGGGCAGTCGCCGGTAGCCGTCAAGACAGTCAAGATGGAGCGCAAGCGTCTGCAAAGCTTTCTCGACATTTCCGTAAGAGAGGACAACATGAAGCATTCTGAGAACGGATCGGCTAAAGACAATGCACCGGCGGTTCGACAGTGGCTTGCTGAGCACCAATCTACCAAGCCTATCGCTGGTGCGGTTTCCAAACGCACACGATTCACTGGACTCCACAATAACTCAACAGGAGGCATATGGGCGACACTGGATAAAGACATCTGTCTGAAAGATACACTGTACAAAGATTTAGCAGATGACGACTGGGCTTCGGCTGCTCGAGCAGAATCAGCAAAGAAGTTCCCTCATGCTGTTCTAGAGATTCGGCGTGAAGGCAACCAAGCAATGGCGCTCATCCAGACCCTTGACCGCAGTCATTTGGTACGTCGATGTCCAAAGTTATACACAATCAGTATACTAACAATTGCAGGTTGAACGCGTTCGAGGTTTCTCATTAGAAGCACATGCTGTCTGGACTTGCTGCAAACCCAGCGCCATGTCCGCCCCCTTCTGGATCTCCCTCCTCGAGAAGGATATCCGCAAACTACCAGAACCGGTGACAAAACGGAGTCGCAGAGCTCGAGAGAGCGCAACTGGCTCACAAGTTCAACTATCGCCTCCAGCAACTTCGACATCCAACACCTCATATGATGGACAATCCAGCCCACTGGCCTCTCGTTATGAGGAGTCCTCTGCAACATCAGTACACGAATTTGTCGACCCGCCACCACTACAAGCTTTCCGGAAGAAGAGCCGGAAGCCCTACTCAGATTATCCTCCACCAATGAGCCGGACCGAGCCAGAGCCGGAAGTGCAGCAGAGATACTGGAACGAGTACGATCACCCCGAAGACGAGGAGACTGGCTACTACATCTACGTCGACCCTGACGCGCCCATCAAATACCCCGGCCAAGATTTCGTCGAAGCACTAGCAAGAAAGACAAAGAAACTCTTTGGCAGGAACGACAAGGCTGATGAGGCGTCACTCTCCGCTGCCGAAGACTCAGATGACGATACGATCGACTCATCCCCCATACTACACGCCGCAAACTACGGAACAACAGACAACCACGCGCAGTCATCGAACCGCGATGGCTACTTCAGCACGCTCTTCCGCTCTCTCCGCGATCCACACCACGATGCCGACCTCTTCAATGAACGTCGCGCATTGCTCGGCCAGGTAGAAACGCATCAACACAAGATCGAAATGACTAAACTGCGCTTCTACTCTACCGCACTGGGTGCAGCTGTTGTCATGGATCTCATCTTGGGTCTCATGACGATGACGAGTCGGAAGAAGGAAAGAGGTGTTGTTGATGCGGCTGTCCTGTTAGGCACTATTAGTACATTGGTGCTTTGCGTTGTCGCGGTCATCAGCATGCGGACAAGGCAGGAGCGTCTGGGTGCGGTGCATCAG